GCAAACGTGGCCTGTCATCGGAGGGCCGTCCCCAGTGCACTGGTGCCGGTGCCTTCGGCAGTCCATTCCAACGGTCCGCAGGCTTGCCTCTAGTGCCGATCAGGAGGTCCAGCACAACGGTTGGAGGGGGTGGTGATCCCCTCTGGGGCACCCCGGCCGCTTTGTTTACTCTAGAGCACAGGTGTCGAACTCCGGGCCTCGAAGGCCAGTGTCCTGCAGGTTTTAGATGTGTCCTTGATCCAACACAGCTGATTTAAATGGCTAAATTACTTCCAGTTCTCCAGAGGCCTGGTAATGTACTAATCATTTGATTCAGGTGTGTTAACCCAGGGTGAGATCTAAAACCTGCAGGACACCGGCCCTCGAGGCCTGGAGTTTGACACATCCTGCTCTAGATAACCTGGAGCAAATTGCTGGCCCTCCACTCATTTGAATTAGAGTGTTCAAATGAGACATTAATTTGAATGTCTGCCCTAGCAAGTGGTACTTTATGTGCCTTTAATGGTGACCACGGGTAACGGGGAATCAGGGTTCAATTCTGAAGAGGGAGCCTGAAAAACAGCTACCACATCCAAGGAAGGCAGCAGAGTGCAAATTACCCACTCCCGACTTGGGGATGTAGTGACGAAAAATAACAATACAGGACTTTTTCAAGGCCTGTAATTGGAATGAGTACACTTTAAATCCTTTAACAAGGATCCACTGGAGGGCAATCTGGTGCCAGTAGCCGCGGTAATTGCAGCTCTAATGGCGTATCTTAAAGTTTCTGCAGTTAAAAAGCTCGTAGTTGGATCTTGGGAATGAGCTGACGGTCTGCCACATCTGTCCCAGCCCCTGCCACCTCGGTGCTCTTGGTTGAGTGTCCCGTGGGGTCCGAATCGTTTACTCTGGAAAATTTAGAGTGTTCAAAGCAGGCCCGTTCAGCTGAATACCTCCGCTAGGAATAATGGAATAGGACACTATTCTATTTCTATTCTGTGGGTTTTCTCTCTGATCTGGGGTCATGATTAATGTAGCGCTGAATTAGCTCCATGGCTAACTTTAGCATTAGCGTGCAGTGGCACTTAAACTGCTATTATTGTTATCACTGTGAGCTCTCTTGGCAACTAGAAGGCTCTACACTGTACCATCATATATTCTCTGTTCAGACAGCAGTGGACAACTTTAACTGTGGTGTTGGTATTGTTCACATACACCAGCAGACCTCCTCTGTGCTTCTTACTCTTTGTTCCTGTCCTCTCTGAGCGTACCGTGGCCGTCTAATTCAATCGCAGTGTCTGGGGTAAAAGAGTCCAGCCAAGTCTCTGTGATGATCATAACACAGTAATCCCAACGGTGTGAGGTGATCCGCAGTTGTTGTATAGTGACCGTGAATTGGTGAGGAAGAGAGTCAGAATAGTCAGTCTGTGTGAGTTAGCTCTTAGCTTAGTCCTCAGCCCCTGCTCTCTTCCCCCTCTTCTGTTTCCTGTGCCTCTGTCGCCTACGCCAGCGGTCCCCAACCTTTTTTGCCCGACAATAATTTCACGCCTTTAAGGTGTCGCGGATAAATACAACAAAATAAAAGTAGTACCTGTACCGAATAAAAGAAAATTTATTCATAACACACGTGAAAAGACCCAGGAAAACTGAGTAAACGATAAAAACGATAACAAAATAACGCTGAAAACCGATAAAACCCCTGAAAACTATACATTTCACACCTGAGCCTCAACTCTCGCGGCCCGGTACCAAATGACTCACGGACCGGTACCGGTCCGAGGCCCGGGGGTTGGGGATCGCTGGCCTACGCCACTTCAGCGGTGGTATAATGAAGATGGAGTCCGTGTTCCTCTGGATGTTAGGGGGCATTGAGTCCTGGTCTTTGTCAGCAAGGGTGAACAGTTTTCTGTGGTTTAGAACCACAAGCAGTTCAGCTTTACTGTACTGGATATGTGCTCCTGTATGTCAGAGGAAAAGTGAAATAAAAATTATATATTATAATGTTATATTAATATATACAAGTATGATTCTTTTTTTTTTTTTTTTTTTTTTGCCTGTCCCGTTTGTTTCTTTTGCCATTAGAATTGTTGTCTAAAGGCAAAGAAAGATGCCCAACGGATTTACTTTACCAAATGGACCGTCCCAGCCTTGCCGTATTGGTCTACTTGATTCACCTTTGCTTTTATTGTTTATTTTATTTTCATTTGCTGAACACGGGACAGACTTGACTGGGGAAAAGAAAAGGGAGAAAGAAAGAGGGAAAGAAAAAGAGCGGGGAAGAGGGACAGTGATAAAGAGCAAAAACCAAAAACCAACCAAACAAACAAACAAAAAATACATATATCAATCACCTGGATCACCTGTTGAGAAGGAAAAAAGAGAAAACAAGCAAAGAAAAAGAGAGCAATACAATAAACAACATCATCGCGATGATCTATGTGAATATAACAGTAAATACTAAATATTAAATATTATTGTGCAGCACGTAAGATCGACAGCGCACAGTGTTCTTTGAGGTAGCAGCCAAAAAGGGTGTAGTTTGTTTGCAAGTATGATTCAAAAAGAATAATTAACAACACTTCTTGTAAGGCATTAAAATCAGTCAGTTCAATTCAATTCAGTTTTATCTATATAGCGCCAAATCACAACAACAGTTGCCTCAAGGCATTTTATATTGTACAGTAGATCGTATAATAGTAGATACAGAGAAAAACCCAACAATCATATGACCCCCTATGAGCAAGCACTTTGGTTCTGCTGGAGGTTTCTTCCTGTTAAAAGGGAGTTTTTCCTTCCCACTGTCGCCAGAGGGTAGCAAACATTAACAACACAACAGAGGGCAAAGGCAAGCAAGGGGCTTAAATACACAGTTGAGTAATCAGAAAATGGGAAACAGGAGGGAAACACACCTGGGAGAAATTAGGGCTAACAAGACAGAGGGAAGTAACACCGAATACACTGACATAAGTCATGGACCTTCAAAGTAAAACAGGAAACAAGAAACAATTTACAAAGACGCAGACTTGACACTGAGAGACAGACTGAAAGAATAATAATAATCAAAACAGCGCAACTAAAGAATCTGAACATAAATTATGACACCGAAAAATACCAAAATACAAGAAACTTAAAATGCTGAGTCAAAATGACCCAAAACCTTGACAAGACCCCAATTTAGACAATCGCAGGCTCCCTCCCCACTGGAGAGGTGACATTCAATGTCACAAAGTCAGTCTGGATAGCCCTTACCACCACCCGACACATAATAATGTCATGACTGGATATTATTAAAATGGGCTATGCAAACATGGCCAATAACTTTTCATTTTGATGATTCAGGATAATTTGGGCACAAAACAAATTTCATTGTTTAAAAACTTGCAGACTTCACTTTATACAGTGTAGACAATGTGGACTCTCTAAACTAAATTTGTGGGATATGATCTTTCAAGTGATGCAGACCCAAACTGTTGTTGTTTGTATTTACTTAAACAGCATGCCTGTAGAATTAGCTGGAGTCATCAGCAACAGCATAGAACAGTCGTAACACAAAGAAGACAGGAACAGATCAGTAAAGAAACAACTTTCCTGATTAATATAAATGACAATTACTAATATATTGGAAAACCAAAATACATATCACTCAGTTGATGTTTTTCTGTCCAACAGTTCCTTTTCTAGACTTGTAAGGATGCAATGTGGGGAGTGCTGGTCCCAAGCCTCAAAGACAGTAAGAAGCAAGCAGAGGGAGAAAAAACTCTAAAATTATTTAGAAGCTGATTTGATTCTTAATGGCTGTGCAACTGTTACAACTTATAACACAAAAGGTCAATGTAGACCTCATGCAACCAAATTAGACTAGCTTATATAGTACTTATTAATGTTTTTAAAAAGTCATTTAAAAACACCATCTACTACTGTGTCTAAATGTGTAGTGTTTGTTTTTCTTAAACAACCTAATTTAAATATAATCATTACATGCTTGTTAAAAGCTAACTTCAAATATATAAAGTTTCTAAGTACAATGACCAGATAAAACATATGGCAGTGTTTTTATGTAACCGCAAAATGTTTCTGACGACTCAACTGTGGAATTAAATTAATTCTTTAGAAGGACAAGCTAAATTATTTTCAACTATAAAGCCAACATAGACTTTAACCATTTAACAGGCCACTAATCTGGTTTATGGCTCTGGACTTTCACAACAAAACTTGTGTCTAAACACATTTTTTAACAAAACAAATACTATTGTTAATAATATTAATATTACTATCATTTACAATGTAATTAAAGAGAAATCTTCATTAAATATAAAAGCAGTTTACCTATGTTGCTGAAGAAAGGCTAGATTTGACATTAATAGATGCCACAGATGCACTGAAACTATCATAAAGCATTAAAAAAAAGCTACGATTAAAAGCATTAAAAAAGCTACCATTAAGCATTAAAGTTTTTTTTTAAAAAAATACAGGGGTTAAGAATATACAGGTCATAAACGTTTATATGGATTAAAGAAGAGAAGCAAAAGAAGCAAAATTTGCAGCTTAGTTTTTCTTTCTTAAGACAACTCAAATAAACTGAGATAATTCGTGTTTTTTTTAAAATAAAAAACTCTTAACTTACTTAACAAATTAATAAAAACTGAGTTCAGTCTACTTAATATTTTTAATTAAACACAACATTGGATTTTACAGTGTACAAAGAAGGAATAGATCAACTAGGTATTAACTCCCTCATTTCCAAACACTCCAGACAGATGGCTGCCCCTTCCTGAGCCTAGTTCTGCCAGATGTTTATGTTTTGTCCCCTTAAAAGCAAGTGTTTCTTTCCTACTATTCCTAATTTCTTAGTTGCCGAGTGGTAGTGATTTGAGTGTTGGAGTTCTTGCTATTATTGTACTGTATTTATATCACAATACAAAATTTTACCACCTAATTTTGCCAAAGCTCTTTATTTAAAAAGCTAATAAAAAATAATAAAAGATTTTAAGTCATGGTAATGCTTTGTGTTTGTTTTACAGGTTCTTCCAAAGATGACCCTTTCCATCGTGTCTGAGATGGATTGCATCTTGGGAAACAAGCCATATAATAAATAGGAACTGAGGTCCTAGAAGTCCCTGAGATAAACTGAAAAGTTATACTCACATGTTGAAAGAGCTGGCAATAATATTAAAAAATAAATAAATCTGGAAACTGTTTTCAAAAAGATATAAGCAAGTAAAATGTTGTGCCAACTTAATCACTATTTGCACTTGTTTCCACTTAATAAAATGAACTTGAGCAGTATGGAATGCCTACTAAAATAGATACACTGTTTTGAACTAAGACACTAATACATGAAAAAAATCACCTGCAATGTAAGTTCGGGTTGATTCGTACTAAGGAACTGTTTTAAATGTCATCATCTAACTGAGCATGTAAAAAAAATTGCTTAATTTGCAAAATGGATTACATTTGTATCAAAAACATAAACTCCTTGCCTGAAAAGAAACTGAACACAATACATGTAATGACTGTTTATTGGCATGATTCCTTTGACTAGTTCCCACTCACATTTGAATTTCAATTTCTTGATATTACTTGATACTCATCTTAATGATATTAAGATGAGTGAGGTTTAATATGGGCCTGATGGATTTCTGACGCAATTCATAAATTGAGTTCACGCTAATTAAATATTACAGTTTTCTACTTATAGTAATTCATGTTTAATGTAGTTGTTAAGATTTTCTGTTTAATAAAACCTTTAACTTTACCAGCTTTTAAAGTCTCTTTTGTAATTACATTTAATTTGATTAATTATGAAACTTGAACTGAACCGAAATTTTACATGTGAGTTATCTTTTTTAGCCATCTTAATAGCTTGGGTGGCTGAGAGTTAGGATTAGAAAAGTAACACAATGATTCCCCCGCATGATCCACTGACAGCATACATGCCAACCCTCCCGATATTTCCGGGAGAATCCCAAATTTCAGTGTCCCTCCCAAAAATATCCCGGAGACACCATTCTCCCGAATTTCTCCTGATTTTCCACCTGAACAACAAAATTGAAAGACCATATGCCAGAATTCATAGCGCGGACCAGCCAATTCCAGTTTCCAACAATGGTGGCATCTAAGTTTTAATATTACACTTATTACTCTTTCTGAGTCGCAAAATAAACTTGTTTTCAGGCGAGAATGTAGCTATGTAAACTTCAAATATCTGAGCAGGGGAGAAGAGCAAAGTCCCGGCACATCGTTTTCAACCCCATACAGTCTTTCGCTACTCAGGTTTAACGTAATATATAAGTCACTCAGATAACTTAAAAATGTTATTGTTTGACTTTTTTCAATGTTTTATTTGTTCATGAGTACATTGGTTTCGCTGCAATTACAGTTATTAGATTAGACTTATTTATTAATCCCTCAGAAAATTAACTGATGAAAACAGCACAAAGTACCACATGTGCTGTCAGTGAAAGCTGCAGCTGTTTTATTGATAAAGTTAAAGACAAAAAGTCAAAAGGATTAATCACCCATGTAACTGTGTCACTATATGCCAGCATTAACAAGACCTGAGTATGGTGTTTCAGAGAGCTGCAAAGCTTCCGTTTTAAACACTTGATGTACTCAGCTGCATGAAGAGCACATTTGATTTTCTCTGACACAATTAAATAAAACCTGATGAAAGTCAAAGGTCGTCACTTGTATGTCGAACTACAAACTTGTGATCTGGAATTCTTTCACAGTTTGATGATTCAGAGGTATTCATACCAGAGTAACCAGAGAGGATAATATATTTTTTAATATATAACTTTCTACAGGACTGAATATAATATCTTTATGTAACAGCCTCTGGGGAGTATCTGAGTATTTATAACATTACACAAACCAAAGGTCTCATCACAGTGTTCATGAAATGCTGGCTTTATCCATCTTCTGAGCTGGGCCTACGATGGAGCTCTAAAGATTTCTGTGTGAGGGAGCTGCTGGTGAAGATCAAGAGTCCTGCTTGATCAATGCGGTAAGCTTCAGTCTTCCTGGTGTTTCTTAAATGAAGCCTTCTAAATTATACCAGGTCCTGTGGTGCTGGCTGAGGCCATCTACATTACACCATGGCCTGTGCTGCTGCTTGAGGCGTTCTTCACAACATCAGGGGCTGGGTTTCTGTTGGTAGAGGTCATCTACAGCACAACAGGGCCTGTGCTGCTGGCTGAGGCCATCTACAAAACATCAGGGCCTGTGCTGCTAGCTAAGACCATCAACATTGCAACAGGGCCTGTGGTGCTTTCTTGGGCCATTTAAATCACAACAGGGCCTGAGCTTCTGTTGGTAGAAGCCATCTGCATCACACCAGGGCATGTGCTGTTGGCTGAGGCCATCTATACAACATCAGGGCCTGTGCTGCTGGTTGAGGCCATCTTAATTGCACCAGGAGCTGTGTTGATGACTGATGCCATAAACACCATAGCAGGGCCTGTGCTGATAGCCAAGGCCATCTAGAGCACACCAGGGTGTGTGATGCTGGCTGAGGCCATCTACATTACACCAGGGCCTGTGCTGCTATCTTAGGCCATCTAGAGCACACCAGGGCATGTGCTGCTCGCTGAGGCCATCTGCATTACACCAGGGCCTGTGCTGCTAGCTAAGACCATCAACATCACACCAGGGCCTTTGTTGCTAGGTAAGGCCATCTACATTACACTAGGGCCTGTGCTGCAGGCTGATGCCATCTACATTACACCAGGGCCTATGCTCATGGCTGAGGCCACATACATTACAGCAGGGCCGGTGATGCTAGCTAAGGCCATCAACATCATAGCAGGGCCTGTGCTGATAGCCAAGGCCATCTACATTACACCAGGGTGTGTGATGCTGGCTGAGGCCATCTACACAACATCAGGGCCTGTGATGCTTGCTTAGGTCATCTAGATTACATGAGGGCCTGTGCTGCTAGCGAAGACCATCAACATCACACCAGGGCCTGTGCTGCTCGCTGAGGCCATCTACACATCATCAGGGCCTGTGCTGCTTGCTTAGGCCATCTACATTGCATGAGGGCCTTTGATGCTAGCTAAGGCCATCAACATTGCAACAGGGACTGTGCTGCTTTCCTAGGCCCTTTACATCACACCAGGGCCTGATCTTCTGTTGGTAGAGGCAATCTGCAGCACACAATGGCATGTACTGCTGGCTGAGGCCATCGACACAACATTAGGTCCTGTGCTGAGGCCACCTACATTACATCAGGGCCTGGGCTGCTGTTGGTAGAGTGCAGCCTGTTTTGCTGCTTGATCTGCAAAATTATTTCCTTTTGTGACAATATAATTGTCTTTTTGATGTCCTGCACATGTGCAAAGTGCCAATTGTTTTGGCAAGGTGATCACTTCCAGCAAGATTTTTTTTTCTTCTCTATAGATGCAACATTACATTCTCACTTGAGGCATTTTTAGATAATTTCTAGTTTTTCAAAGAATTCACCCATCTCACACATCTTACATATTTCAAACTTTGAAGTTAGGGTTTTTTATATATATATATTTTTTTAAACTTTGAATTGCTCACAGTTCTAAAACTAGGCATTTGTAAATCTGTCACGGAGGAGCAGGGAGGACTCGGCGCAGACTGAAATCTCAGAAAAACAGGTTTATTTACACACTCCAGGTGCACTATATACAGGTGAAGGAGAAGGGGGCCAGGGTTCCCAGGGGTGCAGAGCGGGGTCGGGAAAAGCGTCCAGAGTCTCCAAACCAAACACGAGAAATCTGCATACAGAGAACAAGGGTTAGCACGGAACTTTCACGGACAGAGCTCAAAACTGGCTGAGGCTAAAGTAGCACTGACGAGCGTTATTCAATAGTCCAGCGGCGAGGTGCTCTCAGTCACTGCCTTAAGTAGCGGGAGCAAACAAGGTGAGGAGCCACAGGTGATTGCCTACAGGTGGTGGAGGCCGGGAGCTCACAATGAGCTCCGCCCAGGCAGCGAGCAGAGAGAGAGGAGAGAGAGAAAAGACAAAACATAACATGTAGCCACACAGGGCCAGCCGAGCAGGCACGGGGACCATGACAGTACCCCCCCCCCCCCTCAACGGGAGCCTCCCGGCGACCCACCAGGCTTACCCAGATACCGACGATGGAAGTCCCGGATCAACTCCTTGGCCAGGACAGCCGACCGGGGCACCCAGGATCGTTCCTCCGGCCCGTAGCCCTCCCAATCCACCAGGTACTGGAAACCCCGTCCCCGGCGCCGAGAGTCCATAATACGAGTGATGGCGTACACCTCCTGACCATCCACAAGCTGGGCGGGCGGAGGGGCCCTAAGAGGGGGGCACAGCGGGCTGGAGAGCACGGGCTTGACCTGAGAGACATGGAAGACGTTGTGTATGCGCATATTGCGCGGCAGCTTCAGGCGAACAGACACCGGGTTGACAACAGAGTCAATTTCAAAAGGCCCAAGGAAGGTGGGCGCCAGTTTCTTAGACTCAGCGCGAATAGGCACAAAGCGAGTGGACAGCCATACCTTCTGACCCGCGGCGTATGCAGGGGCAGGGGTCCAACGGCGATCAGCGAGGGCCTTGTTTCGCTCCTTAGTTCGGAGCAGGGCCGCTCTGGTAGTACGCCAGGCCCGACGGCACCTTCGGAGGTGGTGTTGCAGAGAGGGGACCGCATGCTCGCCTTCAAGAGCAGGAAACAGCGGCGGTTGGTACCCCAGAGAAGCCTCGAACGGCGACATTCCCGTGGCGGACGACGTGAGGCTGTTATGAGCGTACTCAATCCACGGTAACTGGTCGCTCCAGGTGCCTTGATTGTGGGAGACAACACAGCGAAGGGCAGCTTCCAGCTCCTGGTTGGCACGCTCCGTCTGTCCGTTGGTCTGAGGGTGAAAACCAGATGAAAGACTAACCTTTGCGCCCAGGGTCGTGCAGAACTCTTTCCAAACCCGCGAGGTGAACTGAGGGCCTCTGTCGGACACGATGTCGTCAGGGATGCCGTGCAGCCTAAACACATGTGCCGTGAGCAGTTGAGCAGTCTCCAGTGCGGTCGGGAGCTTTGTGAGGGCAACAAAATGTGCAGCCTTAGAAACACGGTCCACAATGGTTAGTATTACTGTGTTACCTGAAGAGGACGGCAGCCCCGTGACGAAGTCCAGGGCGATGTGGGACCAGGGCCGGCCAGGAGTGGGGAGAGGCTGGAGCAACCCGGACGGCGGTTGGTTGGGACGCTTGTTTTGAGCGCACGTGGGACAGGCGGTCACATAGTCTCTAGTGTCTTTTATCAGGGAGGGCCACCAGAAGTAACGTTGCAAGAAGGAGATCGTGCGATGAAGTCCAGGGTGGCAGGAAAAGCGGGCGGTGTGACCCCACTGGAGAACACGTGACCTGACGGACGTGGGAACATAAAGCCGCCCTGGTGGGCCCGTCCCTGGGTCGGGTTCGGTGACTTGCGCCTCGAGGATTTGGGATT